GGTTGCGATCCGTTGCCGGACACGGAAAAAGACAAAAGACAAAAAAAAAAAAAAATTAATTCAGTGAAAAGAATAGAATTTATTTATTTTTTATTATTATTTTTTTAAAAAGATGACCAGCAAGGGGATCTTAACCCTTGACTTGGTGTGGTCAGCACCACGCTCAGCCAGTGAGCCAACCGGCCATCCCTATATAGGATCCGAACCCATGGCCTTGGTGTTATCAGCACCACACTCTCCCGAGTGAGCCACAGGCCAGCCCCAAAGAATAGAATTTAAAGGCAAGTTTTCCCCTCATCTTCCCTCATAGCCCCTTAAATTTTCACAAAACATTCAATAAAGATGAGTAAATACTAAAATGTTTTATATTTAATATATAATAACAATTTTATATGACAAAGATGTTTTATTGCTAAAGCAATTTCATGCTTGTTAACAAAGAATGTTTATCTAAATTTAAAAACTAAAATGCTTATCTGATCAGGACCGATTTTTAAAATTTAACTTTATAGTTGAATGAGACTTTCTGAAAGGAGTTTTTATTTCTAAGATTTTTTGAGTAAGGGAAGGGGCAACAGTTTGGGAAAATGTAATTGAACATAGTGGATGTTGCTGGATACTTTGTCAAGTTTTGGTCATGTTCTTCCAGTTCCTTTTGAAGTATACGTAAGTTAAAAAGAGAAAACATTAGGCCGGCCTGTGGCTCACTTGGGAGAGCGTGGTGCTGACAACACCAAGTCAAGGGTTAAGAACCCCTTACCGGTCATCTTTAAAAGAAAAGAGAAAAATTTTTTTTTCACTTGAATTTTAATTATGGTTACGTAAGTTGTAAATAAAGTTTTTAACATGCGAATTATAAAGGACATCAAAGAAAGCTCTTCATAGTTAAGCCCACCAGACAACTACAGATCTTTGTGAGGAAACATGCCTTCTTTGTGAGACACTCAGGAGGGAAAATTAAAAAAAAAAAAAAATTAAATCACTTGAAAAAAATAAAATGTTTAAGGGAATAAACATTAGTTTTTTAACTTCAACTGGCTGGCTTTTCCTAGCTTGTCCTTCCCCTACCTCCTTCCTCCTCCAAATATGGAATTCAACATCTGATAGCAGCAACATATGAACAGAATAAAATGTACTTTGATAACTACTGTACTGATTTTTCACTCTGAAAACTAAGTGATTATGAAAGCACTCTTGCCAGTAAATAGGAAAAACAAATTCTTGCATTGCTGTGGAGAGCCTCTAAGAGACTATTTCTTTTTTAATTTCATCATTTTTAATCTTTGTGCATTTTCCATGGACGTGTAGAGAGCCCATACCCTGGTACAACAAGCAACAGATGTCAGAATATCTAATGTTTGTGTTTTTAAGGATTTCCCCCCATTTTCTAAAAACCAAGTGAATGTTAAAAGTTTCCTTTGTTGCATGATGACATTTTCTTATAAGGTGTAAAATGGATTATTTTTTTTTTAAAAAAATTACAATCATGTTACCTCTTTAGATTTGAAATTTATTCCTTGTCTTAAATTAGGGGTCCTCTTAATTGAAATATATTATAGTACATGTTACAACCTATAATAGTCATATTTATGTATAATTTGCTTTTTACTTTTTAAAATTTTCTATCTTTAAGGGCCAGCCCATGGCTCACTTGGGAGAGTGTGGTGCTGATAACACCAAGGCCAAGGGTTCGGATCCCTACATAGGGATGGCTGATTGGCTCACTTGAGAGCGTGGTGCTGACAATACGAAGTCAAGGTCAAGGGTTAAGATCCCCTTACCGGTCATCTTTTTTTTTTTTTTTAAAAGATGACCGGTAAGGGGATCTTAACCCT